TATTAAGAAAAATCGAAAAATTCAAGAATCTAAATACAGAAAAAACGAAATATCGAAAATAAAACTCGAAATTACGAAAAATTGAAAACGTCAAGAATCGAAAAATAGAAAAAAAGGAAATTTTGAAAGTCTAAACCGAACAGTCGAAAAAGGGAACAATTGAAAATTCGAATATCGAAAAATCGATGAGTCAAATATTCGAGAAATTGAAAACTGAAAAATAAAAATTCGAAAAATCAAAAGTCGAAAAATGGAAAAAAGAGAGATTTAAAAAGCGAAAAGTAAACATTTTAATAGAATTTCGAAAAATAGACAAAACGAACATCGAAAATTCGAAAATCGAAAACTCGAGAAATCAAAAAATAGAAAAGTAAAGAAATTGAAAAATCGAAAATCTGAGAATAGTTTAAAATTCGAGAAATCGAAAAGTAAAAAAATTGAAAAATCGAAAAAAAATTGTAAATTAAAAAGCAAAAAAAAAATTAAAACTATAATATCGAAATCTCGAAAAGTAAAAAATTGAAAAGTCTAAACTTCAAAAAATGAACTGGAAATTCGAAAAATCGAAGAATATAAAAATGGAGAAATCGAAAAATGTAAAAGAAACTAACTGAAAATGCGAGTATCGAAAATTCAATAAACCAAATATTCAAAAAATGAAAATCCAAAAATCGGAAAGTTGAAAATTTGAAAATCGAAAAAACCGAAAAATTAAAAATTCGAAACTTGAAATTAAGAAAAATCGAAAACTTCAAGAACCGAAAAATAGAAAAAAAGGAATTATTGAAAGTCTAAACCGAACAGTCGAAAAAAGGAACAATTGAAAATTCGAAAATCGAAAAATCGATGAGTCGAATATTCGTAAAATTGAAAACTGAAAAATAAAAACCGGAAGTCGAATAATTGAAAAATCGAGAGAATTAAAAAGCGAAAAGTAAAAAATTTAAAAATAGAATTTCGAAAAATAGACAAAATGAATATCGAAAATTCGAAAATCCAAAAGCCGAAACTCGAAAATCGTAATATCGTAAAATCGAAAACTAAAGAAATTGAAAATCGAAAAACTTAGAATAGAGTTGAAAATTCGGGAAATCGAAAAATTAAAAATCTAAAAACTGAAGAATTCAAAAACTGAAAAATCGAAAATTCGAAAAAAAATAAGTATAGAGACTGAAAATTCGAATATCGAAAATCGAAAACTCGAATAATCAAAAAATCGAAAAAAAAAATTGAAAAATCGAAAAACTGAAAGTCGAAAAGTCAAAAAATTGAAAATTTGAATATCAAAGAAAATAAGTCAAAAATTAAAAATTCGATGAATCAAATATTGGGAAAAACGAAAACTCAAAAATCAGAAAACTGAAAATTCGAAAATCGAAATGTAGAAAAAATGAAATATCGAAGTCGTAAAATCGAACAGTCGAAAAACTGAAAATCGAAAAATTACAAAATCAAAAACTGAAATTCGAAATATCCAAAAACTGGAAAACAAGAAACCGAAAAATCAAAAAGTCGAATAATCAAAAAATCGAAAAATAAAAATTTTGAAACATCTAAAAACTGAAAGTCGAAAAGTAAAAAGAATTGAAAATTTGAATATCGTAATAAAGAAGTCAAAAAATCAAAAATTCGATGAAACAAATATTCGAAAAAACGACTACTCAAAAATCAGAAAACCGAAAATTCAAAAATCGAAATGTAGAAAAATGAAATGTCGAAGTCGTGAAATCGAAAGTCGAAAAACTGAAAGATCGAGAAATTATAAAAACTAAAATTTAAAAAATTGAAAATTTGAATTTCGAAAACTGAAATTCGAAATATCCACAAACCGGGAAACAAAAAACCGAAAAATCAAAAATTCGAATTTCGATATTAAGAAGAATCGAAAAATCAACGAATCTAAATACAGAAAAAACGAAATATCGAAAGTAGTAACATCGGAAAGTCGAATAATTGAAAAATTGAGAAACTGAAAGAGCAAAAATTAAAAAAATGAAAATTTGAATATCGAGAAAAAGAAGTCAAAAAACAAAAATTCGATGAATCAAATATTCGAAAAAACGAAAACTCAAAAATAAGAAAACCGAAAATTCAAAAGTCGAAATGTAGAAAAAAATAATATCGAAGTCGTAAAATCGAACAGTCGAAAAACTGAAAAATTGGTCTAGAGTTTAGACAGTACTTTCCTCGCTGTCGGAAACGTGACGACTGCATGTCTATTATGTTTTTTTTTTTCGCAGTAGATTTCATTTTTCTTTAGTCACCCGGTATTTGCAAATTCAAAAAATACGAACGGAATGATTAATTACAAGTACAGACTCATCATATTTTGTATATTCTAGATAGGATTTATTCAGCAAACTTTTGAGCTGACGTCATCAGTTTTTTGTAGAAAATAACCAAATATATTTTGACTAAAAATTTATTATGCTCTTTATAACCTTAAAACATTTGCAAGATTTCAAAACATTCGAAAAATAAAAAATCGGCAAGTAAAAAAATTGCAAATTAAAAAGCAAAAAAATTGAAAACTATAATATCGAAATCTCGAAAAGTAAAAAATTGAAAAGTCTAAACTTAATAAAATCAACAACGGAAAATTCGAAAAATCGAAGAAAATAAAAATTGAGAAATCGAGAAATGTAAAAGAAACAAACTGAAAACTCGAATATTGAAAATTCGATGAATCAAATTCAAATTTAAAAAAAACGGAAAGTTGAAAATTTGAAAATCGAAAAAACCTAAAAATTAAAAATTCGAAACTCGAAATTACGAAAAATTGAAAACGTCAAGAACCGAAAAATAGAAAAAAAAGGAAATATTGAAAGTCTAAACCGAACAGTCGAAAAAAGGAACAATTGAAAATTCGAATATCGAAAAATCGATGAGTCGAATATTCGAAAAATTGAAAACTGAAAAATAAAAACCGGAAGTCGAAAAATTGAAAAATCGAGAGAATTAAAAAGCGAAAAGTAAAAAATTTAAAAATAGAATTTCGAAAAATACACAAAATGAATATCTAAAATTCGAAAATCGAAAAGCCGAAACTCGAAAAATCGTAATATCGAAAAATGAAAGATCGAATCGAGAATCGAGAACTCGAGAAATCAAAAAAAAAGTAAAGAAATTGAAAATCGAAAAACTTAGAATAGAGTTGAAAATTCGGGAAATCAAAAAGTAAAAAAACTAAAAATCTAAAAACTGAAGAATTCAAAAACTGAAAAATCGAAAATTAGAAAAAAATAAGTATAGAGACTGAAAATTCGAATATCGAAAATCGAAAACTCGAATAATCAAAAAATCGAAAAACAGAATTTGAAAAATCGAAAAAATGAAAGTCGAAAAGTCAAAAAATTGAAAATTTGAATATCGAAGAAAAGAAGTCAAAAAATTAAAAATTCGATGAATCAAATATTCGGAAAAACGAAAACTCAAAAATCAGAAAACCGAAAATTCAAAAATCGAAATGCAGAAAAAATGAAATATCGAAGTCGTAAAAATCGAACAGTCGAAAAACTGAAAATCGAAAAATTACAAAATCAAAAACTGTCGAAAACTGAAATTCGAAATATCCAAAAACTGGAAAACAAGAAACCGAAAAATCAAAAAGTCGAATAATCAAAAAATCGAAAAATAAAAATTTTGAAAAATCTAAAAACTGAAAGTCGAAAAGTAAAAAGAATTGAAAATTTGAATATCGTAAAAAAGAAGTCAAAAAATCAAAAATTCGATGAATCAAATATTCGAAAAAACGACTACTCAAAAATCAGAAAACCGAAAATTCAAAAATCGAAATGTAGAAAAAATTAAATGTCGAAGTCGTGAAATCGAAAGTCGAAAAACTGAAAAATTGAGAAATTAAAAAATCAAAAATTTAAAAAATTGAAAATTTGAATTTCGAAAACTGAAATTCGAAATATCCACAAACTGGAAAACAAAAAACCGAAAAATCAAAAATTCAAAATTCGATATTAAGAAAAATCGAAAAATTCAAGAATCTAAATACAGAAAAAACGAAATATCGAAAGTAGTAACATCGGAAAGTCGAATAATTGAAAAATTGAGAAATTGAAAGAGCAAAAATTAAAAAAAATGAAAATTTGAATATCGAGAAAAAGAAGTCAAAAAATAAAAATTCGATGAATCAAATATTCGAAAAAACGAAAACTCAAAAATAAGAAAACCGAAAATTCAAGTCGAAATGTAGAAAAAATGAAATATCGAAGTCGTTAAATCGAACAGTCGAAAAACTGAAAAATTGGTCTAAAGAGTTTAGACAGTACTTCCCTCGCTGTCGGAAACGTGACGACTGCATGTCTATTATGTTTTTTTCGCAGTAGATTTCATTTTTTTTTTAGTCACCCGGTATATGCAAATTATATTTTGTATATTCTAGATAGGATTTATTCGGCAAACTTTCGAGCTGACGACATCAAGTTTTTGGAGGGGATAACCAAATATATTTTGAGTAAAGATTTATGATGCTCTTTATAGCCTTAAAACATCTGCAACATTTCAAAACATTCGGTTTTGGAGATTCAAAATTAAATTGCAAAATGTTGTTTTATAATTTTGATTTTTTTCAAAAAATCTGGTCGTTTCGGGTAAAAACTCAATTCGGAGTCGTAAACTACATGCTTAGGACTATATTATTTTATACAATTTAAGACCCATTTACTATGTACAATTTTGAAGTGACGTCATCACATTAGTGGTGGGGATGATTAGATAAATTTTGGTTAGCGTTTTACCATCTACATGATATTCCTAATATAACTACAAAATTTCACAACAATTGGTCCAGTACTTTCGGAGATTATCTGTCTAATAAAAATCCGAGACGGCAGACAGACGGACAGACAGACGGAAATGGGAGACCTACTTCTTCGTCTTCTAGGGGCATGAAAGATCGAGAAAACTCGATTACAATGCTTCCTTTGCTTACGCTCGGGAAGTAAAAACAAAAAAAAAATGTGATTGGCGCAGCCAGTGGAATTTACCGAATTTGTAAATAATAGACCTCAAGTTAGGCGATATGGGTACAGTCGGGTCAAGTATCCACTCATCAAACCGCGTCTTTGACTCATTCAGAGCCACATCGTAGTCCATTGCGCATGCCAGATTTAAAACGACAACTCTCGCTAACCTAAAAAAAAAAGCCGAAATGACTTTGTAACAACGTCGTTTCTTACTACTTCTCCAAGTGTCCTTCGCTGTCGTTGGAATCATCCCAACCCAACTTGTCATACGCCGGCGTCAACAAACCAATCACGTACGACTACAATCTTTTAAAATAGGAACCTCAATAGTGTTATTAGTGCGACTTACCTTAAAATTGGAGTCAAATTGAGACGTTTGTAGGTAGTTTGAGATACTTTGCAGTCGTGACGAGGCCACACTCCACGGAATATAGTGCGTTTCATTAACTAAGTATTTAGTTAGAGTTAGAGGGATCGTGTAACTTAAATCCCCAGATTCTGCTATGCTGAAGCTCTCCTCCAACAAGTGTGTTTTATCCCCCAGTGACAGATCGTTAATGTTTTCGATCAGCACGTTCCAGTCATTTTCTTCGTAATTCACTCTATAGTAACCAACTTGACTAGGGTTGAATTTGATCCATTTAGTACCCGATGGTTTTTCCACAACCACTGAAATTAAATATTGCGAAATTGGTAGGGGTGGGACGGCACAACTTACGCTCGTTTGCTCCGTAGTCGAACCAGTGGATTTGGGAAGTCCCTAAATCCGTGACGTACGACACGGGTATGCTCCACTTGTAACTAAAATAATAATAATAACAATAATAATAAAAATGGGTTCACTATTTTTACTTTAAAGGCGAATTTTTTTGCCTAGCGGCGGTTTCGTAGTCTTTCAGGAAGCGTTTCTGCGTAAAGGTATACTGATTTCCTTGTACTTTGGTTTCGAGGATTGGGTATCCCATTTGTACTGTAAAGGTGTCCATGAATTGCGTGACGTTGAGGCCTTCACCGACCACTTTTTGGATTTCGTTCCATAAATCCTGGGTCTCTGCGTTTCCGTAGAGGTGGTTGTTCAAGTAGTTGGTGACTCCTTTTTGGAAGTTTTCGGGGGTTACCACGTATTCCAACATTCTTAGGACGGAGGCACCCTAACAAAGAAAAATTGGTTGGAGGTTATTTTAACGGAACTTCTTTCGCCTGTGTGTTCAATTTTTTCAATTTTTCGATTTTCCAACTTTTGTGATTTTGAAATTTTTTGATTTAAATTTTAATTTTCCAATTTTTTATTTCTTGCAGCTTTTCGGTTCGGTTTTTATTTTCTTTATTTTTTCAATATGTTGAGTTTTCAAGTTTAAATTTTCCAGTTTTTCGATTTCCCAACTTTGGGGTGTTTCAGTTTTTAGATTTTGCAATATTTCGATTTGCAATTTCACGAGTTTTCAATTTTCATTGTAAAATTTTTCAATTTTTAGATTTTTCAATTTTTGGGTTTCCCAATTTTTAGATTTTTTAATTTTTCGTTTTTTTAAATTTTAGATTTTTTTCAGTTTTTCATTTCTACAATTTTTTTCTATTTTTCATTTTAAATATCTAAAAATAATATTTTTCAAAATATTTCAATATATATTTCAATTTTACGATTTTAGAATTTTCCCATTTTTCAATTATTCGATTTTTCAATATTTCCTTTTTTTGTTTTATAGTTTAAATTTTTCAATTTTTAAATTTCCAATTTTTGGATTCCTTAATTGTTCATTTGTTTTTATTTTCTTAATTTTTACAATTATTCGGTTTCTCAGTGTTCTGACTTCATCATTTTTCTTTTTTTCGGTTTCTCAAATTTTAGATTTTTTAATTTTTCCGTTTTTCAATTTGAGATTCTTTAGTTTTTCATTTCTGCAATTTTTGATTTGCAATTTTTTCTAGTTTTTAATTTAAATATGTAAAAATAATATTTAAAAATATGATTTTTACATTTTTTTTTTTATTTTTCGATGTTTCAGTTTCATTTCTTCAATGTTTCGAGTTGCAGCTTTCCGTTTCGGTTTTTATTTTCTTCATTTTTTCCATTTTCGGTTTTTCACTCTTCTGATTTCATGATTTTTTTTTCAATGTGAAAATTTTCAAGTTTTGAATTTTTCAATTTTTCGGTTTCTCAACTTTTAGATTTTTTAATTTTTCGTATTTTCAATTTTAGATTTTTTAGTTTTTCATTTCTGCAATTTTTTATTTATCAATTTTTTCTAGTTTTCATTTTGAATATGTAAAAAAAAATAATTTTCAAAATGTTTCACTACACACATATTTCAATTTTACGATTTTAGATTTTTCCATTTTTCAAATACTGGATTTTAAAACTTTTTCATTTATTGGGTTTTTCAATTTTTCGATTTTCCAACTTTGGAATTTTTCATTTTTAAGGTTTTAAATTTTTCGATCTAAAATTTCTCTAGTTTTCAATTATTAATTTTCTAATTTTTTAATTCTTTAATTATTCATTTCTTCAAATTTCCGATTTTATAATTTTTTGTTTTTTCAATTTTTCGTTTTTTTAATTTTAGATTTTTCAATTTTTCATTTCTGCAATTTTTTATTTGCATTTTTTTCTAGTTTTTATTTTAAATATGTAAAAATAATATCGAAAAATATTGTTTTTACATTTATTTCAATTTTTCGATTTTTCAGTTTCATTTCTTCAATGTTTCGATATGCAGCTTTCCGTTTCGGTTTTTATTTTCTTATTTTTTTCCATTTTTCAGTTTTTTACTGTTCTGATTTCATGACTTTTTTTCCCAAAATTGAAAATTGTCAAGTTTTGAATTTTTTAATTTTTCGGTTTCTCAACTTTTAGATTTTTTAATTTTTCGTCTTTTCAATTTTAGATTTTTCAGTTTTTCATTTCTGCAATTTTTGATTTAGCAATTTTTCTAGTTTCAAAATGTTTCACTACACACATATTTCAATTTTACGATTTTAGATTCTCCCATTTTTCAAATATTGGATTCTAAAATTTTTCATTTATTCGATTTTTCAATTTTTCGATTTTCCAACTTTGGAATTATTCAATTTTAAGGTTTTAAATTTTCCGATCTAAAATTTCTCTAGTTTTCAGTTCTTAATTTTCCAATTTTTCAATTCTGTAATTATTCATTTCTTCAAATTTCCGATTTTATAATTTTTTGTTTTTTCAATTTTTTGTTTTTTTAATTTTAGATTTTTCAATTTTTCATTTCTGCAATTTTTGATTTGCAACTTTTCTAGTTCCCACTTTAAATAATTATGTAAAAATTATAATTTTCCAAATTTTCACTACAGATTTTTCCTATTTTTAAATATTGGATTATAAAACTTTTTCATTTATTCGATGTTTCAATTTTTAGGTTTTGAAATTTTTCGGTTTCAAATTTGTGGAGTGTTCAATTTTTAATTTGCCAATTTCTTGATTCTTTAATTTATTCATTTCCCCAATTTTCGAATTGCAGTTTTTCTTTTCGTTTTTCTATTTTTTTATTTTCAGTTTTTCATTTTTTCAATATTTCGATTATCTAATTTTTGATTTTTTCAATTTCAATTTTTTTCAATTTTTCGTTGCTTTAATTTTATGATTTGAAATTTGTCTTTTCGGTTTTTTATTTTGCTAATTTTTTCAAATTTTCGAGTTTTTTAGTTAAAATTTTTCGATTTTCCAACTTTTGAATTTTTCAATTTTTAGATTTTGAATTTTTTTCGATTAAAAATTTCATCAATTTTCAATTTATAATTTTCCAATTTTTTAATTCATTAATTATTTATTTCTTTAAACTTTCGATTTGCAATTTTTCGTTTCGTTTTTTTTTTCAAATTTAGATTTTTCGGTTTTTTTAAATTTTTGGATTTAAAATTTCTCGAGTTTTTAATTTTTAATTATTCATTCCTTCAAATTTTCAATTGCAGTTTTTCGTTTGGGCTTTTTATTTTCTTTGTTTTTACAATTTTCCGATTTTTCAATTTTTCAATTCTTCAATGTTTCTGAATTCATAATTTTTTTTTTATTGGATTTTGAAGCTTTTTCATTTATTCGATTTTTAATTTTTCAATTTCTGGGTATTTAATCTTTCAGTTTTTCGATCTTTCAGTGTTACAAGTTTTTCGACTTTACAGTTTTGACAAATTTTGGGTTATTTCCAATTTTTTGATTCGATTCGTATTTTCTACTTTCCAGTTTTACAGTTTATTTTTTTTTTTGGATTTTAAAGTCTCTCGATTTTTAGTTTTTCAATGTTTAACTTTTTCGTTTCTTCAGTTTTTCGATTGAAATTTTTCGATCTTCCACTTTTTCGATTTTGCAATTTCTCGTTTTTACAGTTTTTCGATTCTTCCGATTTTTCAACTTTTCGAATGAAAAAACAGAAAAATTGCGAAATTGTAAAATTAACAAATCTAAAAATTGGAAATCAAGGACTTGAAAATTGAAAAATCGAAAGATTCAAAATTGTGAAACTTAAAAATCGAAATACTGTATAATGAAAATATTGAAAATTAAAGAAATCTAAATATCACAAAAAAAAATTGGAATGAAATTGAACAATCAAAAGTTGAAAATTTGAATAAACGAAAAATTATAACATTGAAAGAAACATTGAAAAAATAAAGGAAACCAAAAAACGATTTTTTTCCAATTTTTCGAGTTTTCAAATTTAAATATTTCAGTTTTTCGATTTTCCAACTTTTGGATGTTTGGTTTTTTGATTTTGCAATTTTCGATTTGCAATTTTTAATCTTTCGATTTTTCAATTTTTTATTTCTCTAATTTTTCTAATAGCATCTTTTCGTTTCGGCTTTTTATTTTCTTAATTTTTAAATTTTTTTGGTTTTTCAGTGTTCTGATTTAATAATTTTTCTCTTTTCAATATAAATTTTTTCAATTTTTGAATTTTTCAATTTTTGATTTAGCAATTTTTTCCAGTTTTCATTTTGAATATGTAAAAATAAATAATTTTCAAAATGTTTCACTACACACACATTTTAAGTTTACGATTTTAGATTTTTCGATTTTTGAAATATTGGATTTTAAAACATTTTCATTTATTCGATTTTTCAATTTTTCGATATTCCAACTTTGGAATTTTTCTAGTTTTCAGTTCTTAATTTTTCAATTTTTCATTTCTGCAATTTTTCTAGTTCCCATTTTAAATAATTATGTAAAATTATAATTTTCAAAATTTTCACTGCATATTTCAATTTTACAACTTCGGGATTTTTCCAATTTTTAAATATTGGATTTCAACACTTTTTCGTTTATTAGATTTTTGTGAAATTTTTGAATATTTGAATTTTTAAAATCTTCAATTTCTCAATTTTTAGATTTTTTAATTCTTGATTTTTTTCAATTTTAGTTTTTTCAGTTTTTCATTTCTGCAATTTTTGATTTGCAATTTTTTCTAGTTTTCATTTTAAATATGAAAAAATAATAATTTTCAAAATATTTCACTACATTTTTCGAATACGATTTTTCAATTTTTAGATTTTTCAATTCTTCGTTTTTTTCAATTTTAGATTTTTCAATTTTTCATTTCTGCAATTTTTGATTTTCAATTTTGGTAGTTTTCATTTTAAATATACAAAAAACAATTATTTTCAAAATGGTTCACTACATACTTCAATTTTCCAATTTCAGAATTTTCCCACTTTTGAATTTTTTCAGTTTTACAGTTTTTCGAATTTAGTTTTCACGATTCTATCTTTTTTCGATTCGATTCGTTTTTTCTTCTTTCCAGTTTTTCAATTCTTTAATTTTTTTGGATATAAGTTTATCGATTTTTAGTTTATCAATGTTAAAATTTTTCGTTTCTTCAGTTTTTCAAATGAAATTTTTCGAATTTTCACTTTTTCGATTTTGTAATTTTTCGAATGAAAAAATTACAAAATCGAAACAATTAAAAAAATGGAAAAATAGCAAAATTGTAGAACTCAAAAATCTAAAAATTGGAAATCAAGGACTTGAAAAATTGAAAAATCGAAAGATACAAAAATTAAGAAACTTAAAAATCGAAAAAGCGGATATTTGGAAATCTGAAAATCGAAAAAAAAATTGGAATGAAATTGAAAAATCAAAAATTAATAATGTGAATAAACGAAAAATTATAAAACTGAAAGAAACATTGAAAAAACAAAGGAAACCAAAAATTTTTTTCCAATTTTTCGAGTTTTCAAGTTTAAATTTTTCAGTGTTTCGATTTTCCAAAATTTTGTAAAAAAAATAATTTTCAAAATGTTTCAGTATATACATTTCAATTTTACGATTTTAGATTTTGCCGCTTTTCAAATAGTGGATTTTAAAACTTTTTCATTTATTCGATTTTTCAATGTTTTCTTTTTTTTTGTTTTAAAGTTGAAATTTTTCCAATTTTTGATTTTCCAACTTTTGAATTCTCTTCAACTTTTGGATTTTGAAAATTTTCGATTGTTTAATTATTCGTTTATTTAAATTTTCGATTTAGTTTTTCGTTTCCGTTTTTATTTTCTTAATTTTTACAATTATCCGGTTTCTCAGTGTTCTGACTTCATCATTTTTCTTTTTCCCATGTGAAATTTTTCAAATTTTGGATTTTTCATTTTTTCGGTTTCTCAAATTTTAGATTTTTTAATTTTTCCGTTTTTCAATTTTAGATTTTTTAGTTTTTTATTTCTGCAATTTTTGATTGGCAAATTTTTACTAGTTTTTATTTTAAATATGTAAAAATATTGAAAAATATCATTTTACATTTTTTTCGATTTTTTGATTTTTCAGTTTCATTTCTTCAATGTTTCAATTTGCAGCTTTCCGTTTCGGTTTTCATTTTCCATATTTCGGTTTTTCATTGTTCCGATTTCATGATTTTTTTTCAAGTTTTGAATTTTTCAATTTTTCGGTTTCTGAACTTTTAGATTTTTTAATTTTTCGTCTGCAATTTTTGATTTGCGATTTTTTTAGTTCCCATTTTAAATAATTATGTAAAAATTATAATTTACCAAATTTTCACTACATATTTCAATTTTACGATTTTAGGATTTTTCCTATTTTTAAATATTGGATTTTAAAACTTTTTCATTTATGTATTCGATGTTTCAATTTTTATGTTTTGAAATTTTTCGATTTCAAATTTCTGGAGTGTTCAATTTTTAATTTGCCAATTTCTGGATTTCTCGATTCATTCATTTCCCCAATTTTCGATTTGTAGTTTTTCTTTTCGTTTTTCCATTTTCTTTATTTTCAGTTTCTCGTTTTTTCAATATTCCGATTTTCTAATTTTTGATTTTTTCAATTTCAATTTTTCGTTGCCTTAATTCTATGATTTGAAATTTTTCTTTTCGGTTTTTTATTTCCTTAATTTTTTTCAATTTTTCGAGTTTTCTAGTTTAAATTTTTCGATTTTCCAACTTTTGAATTGTTCAATTTTTAGATTTTGAATTTATTTCGCTTAAAAATTTTCCCAGTTTTCAATTTATAATTGTCCAATTTTTCGATTCATTAATTATTTATTTTCTTTATTTTTAAAATTTTTCGATTTTATACTTTGTTTTTTCAATTTTTCGTTTCTTCAATTTCATGTATGATTTGCAATGTTTCATTTCGGTTTTTTATTTTCTTTATTCTATCAGTTTTTCGATTTTATAACTTTCGAATGTTGTTTGGATTTTTAAAATTTTCAATTTCTCAATTTTCAGATTTTTTAATTCGTTTTTTTTTTTCAATTTTAGATTTTTCAGATTTTCATGTCTGCAATTTTTGATTTGCAATTTTTTTTTTTCACTACATATTTCAATTACGATTTTTCAATTTTTCATTTTTAAAAGTTAAAGTTTAAATTTTTCAATTTTTCGATTTTCCAACTTTTGAATTTTTCAGATTTTAGATTTTTAAATTTTTGGATTTAAAATTTCTCGAGTTTTTAATTTTTTATTATTCATTCCTTCAAATTGTCAACTGCAGTTTTTGTTTTGGCTTTTTATTTTCTTTGTTTTTACAATTTTCCGATTTTCAATTTTTCATTTCTTCAATGTTTCTGATTCCATAATTTTTTTTTTCAATGTGACATTTTTCATTTGTGAAATTTTTCTAGTTTTAATTTTAAATATGTAAAAATAATAATTTTCAATAATTTTTCACTACATACTTCAATTTTGGGATTTGAGAATTTTCCTATTTTTTAATTATTGGATTTTGAAGCTTTTTCATTGATTCGATTTTTAATTTTTCAATTTTGGATATTTAATCTTTCAGTTTATCGACTTTACAGTTTTGACGAATTTTGGGTTATTTCCAATTTTTTGATTCGATTCGTTTTTTCTTCTTTCCAGTTTTACAGTTCTTTAATTTTTTTGGATTTTAAAGTTTCTCGATTTTTAGTTTTTCAATCTTTAAATTTTTCGTTTCTCAGGTATTTGGATTTTGCAATTTCTCGATTTTATAGTTTTTCGATTTTCCGATTTTTCAACTTTTCGAATGAAAAAACAAAAAAATTGCGAAATTGTAGAATTAAAAAATCTAAAAATTGGAAATCAAGAACTTGAAAAATTGGAAGATTCAAAATTGAGAAACTTCAAAATCGAAATATTGTATAATGAAAATATTGAAAATTAAACAAATCTAAAAATCACAAAAAAATTGGAATGAAATTGAACAATCAAAAGTTGAAAATTTGAATAAACGAAAAATTATAAAAATCCAATTTTTCGAGTTATCAAATTAAAATTTTTCAGTTTTTCGATTTTCCAACTTTTGAATCTTTCAATTTTTAATATTTCGATTTTTCAATTTTTTATTTCTTTAATTTTTCGATTCGCATCTTTTAGTTTCGGCTTTTTATTTTCTTAATTTTAAAATTTTTTTTGGTTTTTCAGTGTTCTGATTTAATAATTTTTCTCTTTTCAATATGAAGTTTTTCAATTTTTGATCAGCAATTTTTTCTAGTTTTCAATTTAAGTATGTAAAATTGTACATGTTTAAAATGGAAACTAGAAAAAATAATTTTTAAAATTTTTCCATTTTACAATTTTTGGGTTTTCTAATTTTTCGATTCGATTGGTTTTTTCTTTCGAATTTTTTCGACTATGTTTTTTAGATTACTAAGTTTCTGGATTTTTAGTTTTTCGTTGTTTCAATTTTTTATTTATTCAGTTCTTCTATTTTTCAATTTTTTCCGATTTTTTTTTGCTTTTCGATTTTTCAACTTTTAAAATGAGGAAACGAAAAATTTTTTTTGGATTTTCCAGTTTCAAAGTAAATTGCAAAATGTTATATAATTTTGATTTTTTTTTTCAAAAATATGGATGTTTAGGGTAAAAACTGAACACGGATTTTATAAAATTGAAATAATATTTACTAATTTAAATTTTGGAATTTGACGTTATCTTATTCTTGATGGGGATGTTTATCCAAATTTCGGTTGGCGTTTTACCAACAAACCGACAGAGAAACGGAAACGGGAGACTTATTTTTTCGTACTCTAGGGATCACGAAACGTCGAGAAAACATACAAGCGTACGCTCAGGAAATGGACTCTACCTTGTTGTATGACACTGTGTCAAAAACTTCGGTGATCTGATCCGGAGTTTCCACGGTTTGAATAATGGGGTGCGACCCTTGAGTGGCATCTAGTGACAAGATCGAATGAAGGGTGTTAATCTGAAATTGTTCCACCATTTTCCAATCAGGTTCCGCCGCCTCCACCCCTTTATCAGCAATATACGTGGCGAAACCCTCATTAAGCCACAAGTTATTCCACCAATCCATGGTAACTAAATTCCCAAACCAACTATGGGCTAGCTCATGAGCCACAACTTCCGCAACTCTTTGCTTATTGCTGGCGGAGTGCGTCGAACTGTCATACAAAAGCGCCGTTTCCCGGTAGGTCACAAGCCCCCAATGCTCCATAGCGCCGGACACAAAATCAGGAATGGCAACCATGTCTGAAAAACACTATATTTATATTTAATAACACACTAAAATGTAGTAAATGTAGCCTTGGAATTAGTGAGGTTATGTCACGCAATCGTATGAATCAATTTACGACTGTTTCACGGTCAACAAATTTAAGTGTCATCCGGTACTTTCGAGTTACCTAGTTTGGGTAAAGGGTACGAGATGTTGAAATAGTTTATGTAGTATTCTATAACGCTTTTTCCCACTGCGCCTGCATACGTTGTTTTATCTAATTGGTGAGGGCTGGCGTAAACCCGGAATGGGGTTTCCCTGTCGCCATTTTGAAACGTCGTACTTGTATAAGCGAAATCTGATACTATGAAACACGACAGGTAGGTGGACATGGGTACGGTTTCGTTAAAATGTACCATAACCCCATCTGCGACAGTTTCTTCGGCCTAAAATGGGCACGGGTTAATAAATATGGGTTTAATTGCGACAACGAGTTACATATTGTGGGTAATTTGACAAAGCTGTGTAGGCGGGGTCGTTGGGTTTTAAAAGATGGACTTTGTAGGTGGCCTTGAGATGAGGTTCGTCGAAACACGGGAACGCTTGACGGGCGTACGTCGGTTCGAATTTTGAAGTCGCCATATATCTGAAAACAAAAAATCAACTTATTTTTCAATATAATCAGTCACGATTATTATCTCACTTATAAAATATTTGTCCTTGTTTGTTGCGCTACAACTATGCTATTATTGAAAAAATTAGGGCGCCGGTAAAATTTTGTTGAATTGTAAAACGACAGATAAAACAACAATAAATTGTTACAAAATTAAACAATAACCTTTATCGCTTGTGATTTTCTAATTCTACAATCTTAGACCGTCAATACGCTGTAAAAATTTACAGCACGACAAGCAATAAACTAGTAAAAGTAGATTTCTCCGAAGATGCATCCAGAGATGTATGGAAGAAAAATGCGCTTTCACTGAAACCACGGTGCATGGAAATGAATTCAGAATCGAAAGTGAAATGCAGCAGGTTGTTGGGTAATTGTTTATATTAATTGCTAGTACTGCAAGTACGCTCCTGGTTATTAAAGCTTGACCAGTTTTTCGCATTCTTGCAATTACTGCAAAGTTACATAAAATTAATTTATGTAAATGTCTGCACGAAAGATTTAATTATGTAAAGCAACCGTGTAACAACAATCTCGTTTGAAACGATATCTAACGTTTCGAAAACGCGAATTATTTGTGGAGTAAATTGTTTATATTGTGAAATTTATCGTTATAAAAATAAATAAATAAACAACATTGGCTTAATCATTTTTCTGTCAGCGATATTTTGAGGAGAATGAACTTCCATAAATTACATGGGTGGGGTTAAAAATAAATTAAAGGATTATGTTATGCTGTAAATTTCATGTGAGATTAACTCAGCAAAATTTGGAGATGACGTCACACATTTTATGGTCGGGATGAGTAGATAGGTTTTAGTTAACGTTTTACTATCTATAAAATAATTATAAAATACAACTAACATTTCAACGTAATCAGATAATATATTATAATTAATATAAATTTAATTTCTAATAAAATTAATCACTAGAATGCGAGCGCAGCGAGCAGTTCAAGTTGTTTAGACATCACTAGAACTTGGATAAACATTTTTTTTTTATTAATATGTAATTTAGCTTCTCAGGGACACTGATGTGTTACTTTACAATAATACCTAAACGTGCTCGCTGCGCTCGCATTATGATAGTTCTTATTTAACATAATTTAGTCTGAAAAATGGTTACAAATCAGTCTTATCAGGTACTAAGTCCCACCCATACGCCCTCTCTTTTCGTAGAGGGTATCTCATTTGCCAAAATCAGTCTTATCTTTGCAGGAACTAGCCCCACCCACCCGCCCTCTCTTTTCTTAGAGGGTATTTCCATTTGCCAAAATTAGTCTTACCTTAGCAGATAGGAGCCCCGCGTACCCATTCTCTCTTTTCTTAGAGGCTGTCGTAAATAACAACTCCAAAAAATTTAACAATGGAAAAATCGAAGACCGAAAAATCGGAATACCGAAAAATCGAAAATAAAAAAATCGAAAAGTAAAACAATTTAAAATCGAAAAACTGAGAATAGAATTGAAAATTTGAGAAACCGAAGAGTAAAAAAAAATGAAAAGTCTAAAAACTGAAGAATGTAAAAACTGAAAAATCGAAGAATATCAAAATTGAGAAATCGAAAAATGTAATAATAGAAACAAACTGAAAATTCGAATATCGAAAATTCGATGAATGAAATATCCAAAAAAAACGAAAATCCAAAAATCGGAAAGTTGAAAATTTTTCGGTTTCTCAATTTTAGATTTTCAATTTTGGTAGTTTTCATTTTAAATATACAAAAAATTTTCCAATTTCAGAAATTTCCCGTTTTTCATTTTTTTTTTGTTATGAGTTAAGATTTTTTAATTTTTCGATTTTCCAGCTTTTGAATTTTTTCAGTTTTACAGTTTGTCGAATTTACAGTTTTCACGATTCTATTATTTTACGATTTAAATATTTTTGGGTTTTCCAATTTTTCAATCCGATTCGTTTTTTCTTCTTTCCAGTTTTTCAATTCTTTAATTTTTTTAGATTTTTAAGTTTATCGATTCTAGTTTATCAATGTTTAAATTTTTCGTTCCTTCAGTTATTCAAATGAAATTTTTCGAATTTCCACTTTTTCGAATTTGTAATTTCTCGTTGTTACAGTTTTTCGATTTTTCAATTTTTCGAATGAAAAATAGAAAAATAGCGAAATTGTAAAATTCAAAAAATTGGAGATCAAGGACTTGAAAAATTGAAAAATCGAAAGATTCAAAAGTTAAGAAACTAAAAATCGAAAAAGCGGATATTTGGAAATCTAAAAATTAAAAATGTGAATAAACGAAAAATTATAAAACTGAAAGAAACATTGAAAAAATTGGGGAAACCAAAAAGGGAAAATTTTTTGAGTTGTCAAATTGAATTTTTCCTGTTTTTCGATTTCCCAACTTTTGGGGTTTCATTTTTTAGATTTTGCAATATTTCGATTTACAATTTCACGAGTTTTCAATTTTTAATTTTTCAATTTTTCGGTTTTTCAGTGTTCTGATTTTATAAGTTTCTTCTTTCATTGTGAAATTTTTCAACTTTTAGACTTTTTAATTTTTCGTTTTTTTTTTATTTCAGATTTTTTTCAGTTTTTCAGTTCTATAATTTTTTCTATTTTTCATTTTATATATCTAAAAATAATGTTTTTCAAAATATTTCGCTACATATTTGAATTTTTGATTTTAGAATTTTCCCATTTTTCAATTATTTGTTGATTTTTCAATATTTCCTTTTTTTTTTGTTTTATAGTTTAAATTTTTCATTTTTCAATTTTTAAATTTCCAATTTTTGGATTCCTTAATTATCCGTTAGTTCCAATTTGCAATTTGCATTTTTCGTTTCGATTTTATAATTTTTGTTTTTTTAATTTTTTATTTTCTTAATTTTTAATTTAATTTTTCGAGTTTTCAAGTCAAAATTTTTCAGTGTTTCGATTTTCCAACTTTTGAATATTTCAGTTTTTAGATTTTGCAATTTTTCGATTTGCAATTTCACCAGCGTTCAATTTTTAGTTTTTGGTTTATTCAGTTTTTCGGTTTCTCAACTAGATTTTTTAATTTTCGGTTTTTTCCACTTTCGATGTTTCAGTTTTTCATTTCTGCAATTTTTTCTAGTTTTCATTTTAAATATGTAAAAAAAATAATTTTCAATGTTAAAGGATTTTGTTATGCTGTAAATTTCATGTGAGATTAACTCAGCAAAATTTGGAGATGACGTCACACATTTTATGGACGGGATGAGTTAGGTTTTAGTTAACGTTTTACTATCTATACAGTAATTATTAAATACAACTAACATTTCAACGTAATCAGATCCACGGTTTCAGAAATTATTTATTAAATATGTCACTAGGAAGCGAGCGCAGCGAGTAAGTTCAGGTTGTTTAGGCATTTGTGATTACTAACTCTTGGACATTTTTTTTTATTAATATGTAATTTAGTTTCATAGGGTCATGTAATATTGCGCTAATTCCTAAAAGAGCTCGCTGCGCTCGCACTTTGATAGCTCTGTTTTAATTAATTTAGCCCCAAAAAATTGTTACAAATCAACCCAAAGGTTCTTCAGGTTTTATTGCAATAAAATTATTATTGACAAATTATGTCCCTGTGAAAAACTAAATGATCTAAAAGAAAAAAGAAAACAATCACTAGGGTGCGAGTGCAGCGAGCAGTTCAAGTTGTTTAGACATTCATCACTAGAACTTGGATAAACATTTTTTTTATTAATATGTAATTTAGCTTCTCAGGGACATTAATGTGTTATTTTACACTAATACGTAAACGTGCTCGCTGCGCTCGCATTTTGATAGTTCTTATTTTAGATAATTTAGTCTCAAAAATGGGTACAACTCACTCTTAACAGGTACTAAGCCCCGCCCACCCGCCCTCTCTTTTCTTAGAGGGTATCTTATTTGCCAAAATCAGTCTTATCTTACTAGGTACTAGCCCCGCCCACCCGCCCTCTCTTTTCCTAGAATGTATCTGATTTGCCAAAATCAGCGTTAACTGGAACTAGCCCCACCCACCCGCCCTCTCTTTTCGTAGAGGGTATCTCATTTGCCAAAATCAGTCAAAAGAATTTAAAATCGAAAAACTGAGAATAGAATTGAAAATTTGAGAAATCGAAGAGTAAAAAAAAAATGAAAAGTCTAAAAACTGAAGAATGTAAAAACTGAAAAATCGAAGAATATAAAAATTGAGAAATCGAAAAATGTAATAGAAACAAACTGAAAATTCGAATATCGAAAATTCGATGAATCAAATATTCAAAAAAACGAAAATCCAAAAATCGGAAAGTTGAAAATTTTTCGGTTTTTCAACTTTTCGATTTTTTAATTTTTCGTTTTTTTCAATTTTTCATTTCTGCATTTTTTGATTTTCAATTTTGGTAATTTTCATTTTAAATATACAAAAATTTTTCCAATTTCAGAAGTTTCCCGTTTTTCTTTTTTTTTTGTTTTAAAGTTAAGATTTTTTAATTTTTCGATTTTCCAGCTTTTGAATTTTTTCAGTTTTACAGTTTGTCAAATTTACAGTTTTCACGATTTTACGATTTTAATATTTTTGGGTTTTCCAATTTTTCGATTCGATTCGTTTTTTCTTCTTTCCAGTTTTTCAGTTCTTTAATTTTTTCGGATTTTTAAGTTTATCGATTTTTAGTTTATTAATGTTTAAATTTTTCGTTTCTTCAGTTATTCAAATGAAACTTTTCGAATTTCCACTTTTTCAATTTTGTAATTTATCGTTTTTAGTTTTTCGATTTTTCAATTTTTTGAATGAAAAATAGAAAAATAGCGAAATTGTAGAATTCAAAAATCTAAAAATTGGAAATCAAGGACTTGAAAAATTGAAGAAACGAAAAATTGAAAAATCGAAAGATTCAAAAGTTAAGAAACTTAAAATCGAAAAAGCGGATAATTGAAAATCTAAAAATTAAAAACGTGAATAAACGAAAAATTATAAAACTGAGAGAAACATTGAAAAAATTGAGAAAACCAAAAAAGGAAAATGTTTTGAGTTG